ACTTCTGTGTTCAGGGGGTGACCACTCAAATGCCATATTTAGGGAGAAGCAGTCACCTGACCAGCTATTTTGTACACATATAAAAAAGCTTGCTATGAATTTGGCTAATTTAGGTGTTGGTCTTTACTCTCTTTCCATGGGATTAAAACTTTCTAACACTTAATTTTTTGTTTGTTTTTTAGACAGAATCTCATTTTTAAAATATTAATGTGCTTCTTAATTTTTTAAACAAAGACTCACTCTATAACCTAGGCTGGTCTTGAACTCACTATGTAACCAAGGATGACCTTAGACTTTAGCTACCTCACTCAGCTTGTTTAAATGCTTTTTTTTTTTTTTTTTCCTTGAGTCAGGGTTTCTCTGTGTAACATCCTTGTCTGTCCTAGAACTCACTCTGTAGACTAGGCTGGCCTCAAACTCACAAAGATCCAACCACTTCTGCCTTCTGAGTGCTGGGATTAAAGGCATGCACTACCACCACCGGGCCATTAAAATGCTTTTAACTGGGCATGTGGTAGTCCATGTCTGTAATCCCAATACTTGGGAGGTAAAGGCCATCCTTGGTATGCATAGGGGATTTGAGATCAGCCTGGACTACATGAGACCCCGTCATAAGAATAAACAAAAAGTGCTTTCAATGGGGTTCCCTTGTTGATTGAACCTTTCAGACATGTGCAAATAAATAATAAAATGTTATTAAATATAACATTTAATCTTCTGCTTTCTGTATTTCTATCATCAAGCAAAGTCCTATACAGAGATAAGCTTCATTGATGCTTGAACAAACCAACAGTAGAGCTGGAGAGGTGGCTCAGCAGTAAAGAGCACTTCTTGCTTTTGTAGAGAACCCAGATTAAATGCCCAGCACCCATATGATGGTTTCCAACCATCTGTCACTCCAGTTCTGGGGTATCTGATACTCTCTTCTGACCTCCAAGGGCACCAAGCACACATGTGGTACACACACTTGCAGGTCAAATGCATGCTCACACATAAAATGAATAAATCTAATTTTTTTCTAAAATTGAAGTTTGTGCAGCTTTAAACAGATATGGAAAATGAAAACCCTCTTTTGGTTTTCCGAGACAGAGTTGAAAAATGGAAAACTTTTATACCTTTGTTTGTTTTGAGACAGGGTTTCTCTTTGTAGCCCTGGCTGTCTCTGTAAAACAGGCTAGCTCAAAAGCAGAGATCAGCCTGCCTCTACCTCTAAGAATGCTGAGATTAAAGATGTGTGCCACCACTCCTGACCTACACCATAATTTTCATCCTGCTAACCCCTGGATGGAAAAATCAGCAGTAACTCATCCACACAGACACATGAGAGTTCTTGGGACAGTCTTCTTAATAAGATGCTGTGTTTGCAAAGCAGGAAAATACACTTTCAAAGTAAATGTCATACTACAATTATAAAGGAAAATGCATGAGCCACTTTCTCTAAGGAATTCTAAAGAATATGCCTTCCACTCTGAAGCCAAACAGATACAACTTCATATTATAAACTTACAGAAGTGTCATCAGAAAAAAGAAAAATTGGGCCCAATTGGGAAAAGGGTACCAAAAAAATCAATATATTCTTCAAAGACAAAAATAGAGCATGGAGAAGTGCAGGGGGGATTCTGAAAAGTCCTGGCTGCTTTAAAAGTATCAGCATTCACTATTAAAACAGAGCCAAGGAGGGCTTAGAAGGCCCAGCCTTCTGCTGAGAGTCCTTCTTCCACCCAAAAGACTCCTTCCCCAGGCAAGAAGAGTTGGCAGGACTTCGTCTTCCTTGCCTCTAGTATGTCCAGAAGTGGGTGAGAAATGGGAAAGCATCTACTAGCAATTTATTGTTACACCTGAACCAAGAAATGCTCTCAAGATATGAAAAATGAACATCAAACCAGTTGTGGTAACACACGCCAGTAGGATTTGCTGAAGGAGGCAGAGGCAAGGAGGATCACAAGTTCGAGGCCAGCCTGGGCTACACATTTGGGAGAAAAAAAAAAAAAGAAGGAAAGAAAACTGAACATGAAGCCACGTGCCACATACCCCCAGGCATAAGGAAGTGTTTATTCTTGAGAATTAATGAAAGACTGTACCAACAGTGACCCAAAATCAAGACTCCTTTCCTGTTCCTCCTGGGTAGCTAGAAGACTGGATACAGGATGCAGACCATGGGCACAGCCCATCATGTAGATGGAAGCATGAAGTAATATACCCAATGCTGCAGCACTATTTGAGTGTGGACAAATGAATGACTTACATTCATTAAAGAGTTTCCAGGTCACATTGACATGTGACAGAAGAAAAAATGTCTGCATTTACAGAAAGAAAAACAAAGTCCTGCAGCCTGCCAGTGACAGAATGGACTTTGAAGCTGTACTAGCAGCTGGGCCTAGCAAATTCTGACAATGGCCAGGCACTGTTTCCCTGCCTCCTTGCCGCCATTCGCCCTCACAGCACCGAGGTAAACACCATTACCATCCTGTCTTACAGATGAGAAGTCTGCAGTGCACAGAAGTGCCTGCTCATTTGTTGTGAGTGCACCAGGCTTCGGACAGGAGCAGTCTGTGCCCAGAGTACCCTATCAGCTATACTGTCCCTGCACCCCAAGAAGCAGACTTTTAGCAACTACTTTGTACTTCCAAGGATAATAAAGAGGATAGAAACCTACCAGCTGTGTAGAAACTGCTTCAGAGAAGGAAGCCAAGACAGAGAAAGATGCCCAAGCATCAGTAAGCCAGTGTGGGAAGAGTGGTTTGTAAAGTCTCAAGACAGGAGCTGTGCAACAGCCAAAGAAACATAAGGTCACAGGGAACACCCCAAGAACACCGATCTGAAAAGTGGCACTGATCACTTGACAGGCGTTTGGTAAAAGTTATAACAGCACTTGGTAAAAGTTATAATAGCATTTGGTAAGAGTTAACACAAGGTATACTAAAAAGCTAAATCAGAGGCTTTAAAATTTTTACCTGTAGTTCTGCTATGAATAAAAGAAAATTTATAAGGTAATGGGAGAATAAGGTAATATTCCCTTGTCCAATAATAATCCCATTTTATATGTCATACATAATATAATGCAGTACATATGTGTGTGAATTATTCGGTGTATGGTATATGTAAAAAACCACTGAAAATGATATGACAGTTACTGAAATGACAGAAGTATAAGTGGTGGTGAGAGAGGTAACTCTCTATTTTTACAACTGGAATAGAACAGTATGTGTATATTATCTGCAGATGTATGGTTCCCAGAAGCAGCAGCTAAAATTGTTTGTGAAGAATGAGCATCAGGGTAGAGAAGTAAGGTATCAGGGAAGGGGCCGCTGTCTTTTATTCTAAGCATTTTTGTACTATTTTTTTTTCTCAACAATCCAAACCCTAGATAAACCAACAACACAAATAAACTTAAAGACTGTCCTTAAAAAGCACTGCTGGAATATGTTTTTAAAGAATTTAAAAAGCTGTTTAATAAAAAGATTTATAAAATATTTCTTGGAAATTAAAAGATTGACTTTGTATGTAGAATGGGCATCAGAGAATCTTAACTTCTCCCCTCTGAAAAGCAAAGCCACAAACAGTATGAAACTTTAAAAATGTATTTTGTCTAAGAAATTGAATCACACACTTCCACCCTCTAATTGTGTTCCTTTGGTTTTTCAAGATACCAAAGAAGGGGCCTTTATTTTAGCACTTGGGTGGGGGCGTAGCACAGCCATCTGTACAGCACATTCAGCTACAGGAAGGAGCCGCTTGCTGAAACTAAAAAGGCCTGCTGTTCCAATGCCACGTGAGAGAACGAGATGGTTTTCATTGCCTCATTGTCTTCCAGAACTGTTGATACATGAACTCTAGATTCCCATCACACGTTGCTCGAACACCGTATTTCTTTTATGTATTGCGGTTTTTCTTGACCCATCGGGCTCCCTTGATAACCTCCTCCCATGTGGTATGTAAACAAATCTGTGGGCAAGCACAGTGCAGCAGACTACAGAGGAAGAACACTACCAGCACATAGTGAACACTGAGTCTTCGGGAAGACAGGCTCAAAACAATTAAATAAAGGAGCCAGTGCAAAGGAGTCTTAGGAGAATTTGGGGAGCACAGATGGGGATTCAAGAGGAATTACAGAAAACCTGAGAGAGACCGGAGAACCCAAACTGTAGGCTTTGAATTCAGGGTTGAAACCATTGTCCCTTTCAGGCCAGGGACAAGGAGGGAAATAATACAGGCAGCCTAAGGATGGGACTGGGTGGTTAAGGCACAGCAGTGAATAGCAAGGGAGACCTGGGGTAGCATTTAGTAGAAAAAGAGGTTAGTCGTTTGAGGTCATAAAGACTCTGCAGCAGAAAAGCAAAACCACAGGGAAGAAAGCGAATTTGGTGGTTGAGAGAATGTATAAGGGAAAGACCCTTGATTAATCAAAGACTACATCAAATTCAGCTTTGCTCAAGAAATTGCAAAAATAGGAGTACCTGGATACAGGATCTTGGGGGGAAAAAAATAAGTATCTCTGATTTCTCAGGACTTTCTCATGCCTAGAGAGAGTGGGAGCATAGGCTTTGTGTAAATCCGGTTGCAAACCCAAAGTGGCATTCCACTTACCACCGGTGTGTGTGATCTGTGTGAAGCTCCATTTCCTGAAGCACTGTAGATGCATATGGCATTTGGTCTGACTCATCTTACTTGACTTCAGCTTTCCTAAAATATTTATCTATCTACAGATACTTGCATTTTGGTTTTCTTCATTTCGTGACAATAAAGTTAAAACTGCTTTAAATACCACACACACACTTCTCTGTGGAATTATGAGTGGCTAAGTCCTTTTTTTTGAGGGGGGGGGGGTGTTAATCACAATTCCCAGTGCCATCTATTGGCAGCAGGTGGAATCAGCAGTCTTTGTCCCTCATTCTTCCACCAAGCAGGTTGCCTGCAGAGGAACCAAATGTAATAACACGAAACTCACCTACTACTCAGTCAGCCAGAAACATTTTTGGTTTTCTTTTTCTGTCTTGAAGGTGTGGCGTGGCACCTTGGCCCGAATGCGGTATAAGAGGACCAAGGCAGCTCTGACAATAATCAGGTACTACCGCCGCTATAAAGTGAAGTCATACATCCACGAGGTAGCCAGACGCTTCCACGGTGTCAAGAACATGAGAGACTACGGGAAGCATGTGAAGTGGCCAACCCCACCAAAAGTTCTGCGCCGTTTCGAAGAGGCCCTGCAGTCAATTTTTAATAGGTAATAACTTGGCAAGTGCCACATTCCTATGCAGTGGCACACTCCCAAATCCTAGACCATGGTACTGGATCAGCTCTCTGCTGTTGTGACATTTACCTCTCCCTCTGTCTTATGTTTGATTGATTTTGTTTTCAAAGGGCATCTGCTTACCTCTCAAAGTAATGGAACTATCAATGTATTTGTCCTGTAGCACTTGACAGCAGAATGCCACAACTCCTGGCTCTAAGCCACATTTAAGATAAACTACCAGCATGCTATCCTCCATTTCCTGTCATTAGCAAAAACATAAATAACTTTCTTAAAATCAACACACATACTTCAAACTAGCAAGTCACATTGATCCTATCAGAGCAGCAGCTCAATCCAACTGTGCCTTAGACTCAGGAGGAATTCCTGAAGCCCCGATTCCCTAGGCCCAGCAGAGACTCTGTTTGATGGGACTGAGCATGGGGCCCAGGCCTTTAACAGTGCCCCTGTGGTTTTAAAGTACAGCCAAAGGAGAAAACAACTATTTTAGGCCACACATTTTTAAAATAAATACCCATGGAAAATTTTGAACCTTCCCAACTTATCTTTGTATGACCTGCCCTGAATCTGAGATTGTCTTTGCCTCAATTCCTCCTCATTTTTTTTAGCTTATATGTTGAAAGCATGTATGCAGCAGAGACAGTTGCCCTGCATTGTCTTCAGAGAAATGACTCCAGGGCCCCTATAGAAACTAGATTCTCAAGCTCCTACCATCGAATATTGTAGTACTTTCTTTCTTTTTCTTTTTTGAGACAGGCTCTCTCTATTATGTAATTCTTACTGTCTTAGAACTTCCTATATAGACAAAACTGGCTTCAAACTCAGAGATTCATCTGCTTCTGGCTCCCAAGTGCTGAGAGCTACCATGCCTATCCATGTGGTAGTACTTTAGTACAACCTATATCCTTTAAACCCTATCAGTTTACTTCTGACACATAATCCAACATAAATATTCTTTATGTGGTTGTTATTGCTGTATTGTTTAGGGAATAATCAGAAAGAAAATCTCTACATGTGTTCAACAGACTTACAACCATTGTTAACCTAACATACTAGCCATCTGAGGCCAGCTGAACTCAAGGATGCAGATCCCATAGATAAGGAGTACTGATGGTATCTAGTGCTGTCTTAACTCTAATCATCTGATGACATTAACCAAACTAACATCCCAAGTGTAGTTATTTGATATAATTTCTTTTAAAAAGCACTTCTTGATATTCTGAATGTAGAACTACTTTTAATTATATTCTGAATCAGACTTTTGTCTTCATTAGCACCAACTCTATTAATAGACTATAGCCAGAGATAGAGAAGTCACATGACAAGAAACTCATGAATATGTATCCTGTTTACATTTTATAAAAACCATAAGATGCAGACCTGTTGATGCAGGCCCACAGCTATAACTGCTTAGGAGGTTGAAGTAGGAGGATCTCAATTTCTTGGGTAACTTAGATCCTGTCTCAAAAGATAAAGAGAGGGCTGGAGGCATGGCTAGGTGGTAGAGTACTTGCCTAGCTTTCAAAAGGCCTAGATCCAATAATTCAATCCCCAGTGCCACAAAGAGGACAAACAATATAAAATTAGTGAAAGCAAAGAAAGTAACTCTTGGTTGTTAGAATCAAAGCTGAAAGTGTTAGCTTTCAATCTCGACAAGCTTTTTTCACATGCAGATAAAATGTTTAGTAACACTATCTACTGCCTGTATGTCTTACATATTTTAAAATGCTTAAGCTGTTCTTAAATTCCTACTCATTGTTTCTAAGTGAGAAATATGCTTATATATAAAGTTGAAATCCACCATTCTATTCACTCCTATTTTTCTTCTGAGATAACCACTCTAGGGATATTGTTAATACCCTTCTAAACTCCTACCTATGCCTTTTTGAGTACGAGTACACACAAACACTAAAAGGAAGACTCATAGAGGGATTAGGAATCCAGACCCCAGAACCCAACTTATATTTTGGCTCTCTCCACACTGGCTTTGTAACTTTGGAAAAAATTAGTTAATTGTGTGTGTGTGTGTGTGTGTGTGTGTGTGTGTGTGTGTGAGAGAGAGAGAGAGAGAGAGAGAGAGAGAGAGAGAGGGAGAGAGAGGGAGGGAGGGAGAGAGAGAGAGAAAGAGAGAGAGAGAATACCTCACATGTCTCAGGCTAGCCTTACAGGTGCTGTGATTACAGGTACACATCATGATTTATGCGTTACAGCCATCAGCTGCCAATAGCTCCTTAGCTAGGGGTAAGGACCTCATGAGTTCCTCCCTCATTCACAGTGGAATTTTGACTGGCTTGATACTATGCAGGTCTGAGTTCACAAATGCAATGGCCCTGTCATGTCAAGAAGACAGCATTTCACATTCCTCATCCTTCAGCTCCTATGTTCTTTCCCCTTCTTTCTTAGAATTCCCTGAGCCTTGTGGGGAGGGAGTAACATAGATGTCCCATTTGGGGCTGACATTCAATGTCACTTATTTTCATACCTTGCCAGTTATATAAATATCTGCATTAGCCAGTCCCCACTGCAAAAAGAATCTTCTATGACTGAAGGTAAAAGCAATACAAATCTATGAGTATAAACATATATTTACAAAGCAATTTGAAAAGACCATTTAGAAAAACATAAATAGTTGGTTCCCCTCTAGGGTTCATTACCTCCCCAACCACAGGCTTTTGATCAAGTTTACAATGGTAGTCATAAATTCTCTCCTGTGGAGAATGCCTCAAATCTAATCAGAAAGTGGTTGGTTGCCTCCATAATAGTCAATGGCATTTTTGGATTAGTCGACACATCTTGCCTGGCAGGTTAGTATTGTGGCATCGAGGTTCCCACACTGGGTAAGACCATTTATATCTTTCTTCAGTGGCCTGCATAGCACCTTCTAGCACTATAAGAGGTAGCCATCAAGAAGGAAATTTCCCAGTCAGTCCCAAGTTCATGTCTCTATGTCCTATAACCAATGTACAGTATCTTCACCGACCACTTAGAGTGGGCAGTGTTGAGAAACAGCAATAGCCTGTGTTATTGGTGGGGGAGGGGTGGGACCTCCTTGACTGATAACTCATATGAGGCATGCCATCCATACCTGGCACTAAAGTTTTCACTTACTAATGCATGTCCTCTGTGAGTAGCATTTCTACACCTACAGGGCACTTTTACGCAAACTCTCTTTTTATTGTACTTTTAAAATTATCTTAAAAAGTAATGCATTTCCATTACTCTTTTTTTATGCATCCTTAGTTTTCATTGGCCCAGTTTACTCTCCCATCCCCCATTCAAGCCTCGTACCTCCATAATGCCCCCTCTTCTTTTGTGCTCCATGTATTCTCTTACTCCCCTCTCCCCATTAAAGCCTCCCCACCATAGTCTTTTCTGACATCCTGGCCTCTACAGATATGCCATGTTTAATATATAAATCTAAGAGTTTTAAGTTAGGATCCAGATATGAAAAATAACATGGAAATTTATTTTCCTTTCTGAGTCTGTGTTCTCTCTCTTAGTGTAGTAGCTTCCAGTTCTATTCATTTCCCTGCAGATTTCATAATTTCATTTTTTATACTTGAATAAAATTCTGGCGTGTGTGTGTGTGTGTGTGTGTGTGTGTGTGTGTGTGTGTGTGTGTGTGTGTACACCACATCTTCAGTGTTCATGAGTTGTTGAACATCTAGATAGTTTCCATTTCCTGGCTGTTGTAAGCACTGAGCATGGATATGCAGGTATCTCTGGAGTCCTTTCAGTGTATGCCCACTGGTAGGTCTATTTTGGAAAACTTCCACACTGATTTCCATAGTAGCTGCACCAATTTATACCCCCTGTTTAATATTTGCAATGACTGCAAATGACAGTGATTAATTTCATATTGTACTCTGGCCTGAACAGGACTATTTTTAGACTTTGGTGTTTTATTTTAAGTCTAGAACTGATACTTTGTATAAAATTGGATTTGCTCGTCCAGCAAATATTTACTGAACACCTGGTGTTTTGCAGGCACTAACCAGGCTTCCAGGGATACAGTGACAATTGGGAAGAATGGGACCCACAGTCCCAGCCTCCTCACAAGGGTCATAGTTGATGAATACATGAAAATACTGTTTGTTCTCCCCCTCTCTCCCGCTCTCCCCCTCTCTGAATGAATCTTGCCATTTGTATTCATCTAGTCAGGCAAACTTTTTCTGTAAAGGGCCTGTAGTATTTTAGGCTATGCAGGCTACATATGGTCTCTCACATATTCTTTGTTTTGTTAAACATGTAAAAATGTAAAGACTCTTCTTAGCTCACAAGCAGTATAAAAACAGACCTAGAGCCAGATTTGAAACAAGCTGTAGTTTATGAACCCCTGAACTTGAATGTTTTGTTCTGTGGGATTCTATGAGATGTATGTTACGGAATTCCAGTGTTATTATTGGGTTTGTTTTTGTCTTTCTGGAAATCTCCATGTGTGTTAATTGTGTTACTTTGTTTTCTCTGCTTTGTTTTTGTTTTGAGACAGGGTCTCACATAACCTGAACTAACTTTAAACACCATTAGTTAGCCAAGGATGACTTTGATTTTTGTGATTCTCCTAAGTAATGAACTGTGGGCATGTGCCATCTCCTAAGTAATGAACTGTGGGCATGTGCCATCATGCCGGGTTCTTTTTATTCTGTTAGGATCATTCCTTTCCTCGCAGTAACTTTTTTGTGGCTGAGCCTGCTTTGTGCCCAGTTTTGTCCTTTCTCTGTCATTGAGGCAGCTGGTATTTATGGCTGCCTACCTGAAGTTATGCATTGTGGCTTGATCAGAGTAGTAAGTCATGTAGCTCTCACCATGGCTGAATAAGTCAGATGCCTGAAGCCCAAATGTACCTCTATGCTGAGGGTCTCTAGTAAGGTGTGAGCCTTGTCTTGGGCCACTGTGGAAACTAAAGTGGAGACAGGCACATGGGTAGGAAAGAGAGCTGCAGTCAGATTAAAGTTTCTCCCATTAGCAGTGTCATCTGTAGCTGCAGGGCCCATTGGGCATTTGTTCAGCAAACTAGTTAGTGCCGTAGGGCCTGCCTGTAACCATTGTCCTTAACTTTGACCACTGTCACTCTTGTAGCCTCTTGGTAAAGACCTCAGATCAGTCTGTCTCATATGAGCACTGGTAGACCATAGAGGTCTGGGGTGGGGAGTGGATCACAGAACAGGACTCTGACTGTAGGGCTGAGCCTTGGTGTTTTCTTAGTGTTTTGTAATCTACCATGGCTGAACCCACCAACCATGACCTCACTACAGCCGTTACCTCCTGCCTTTGCTCCTAGCCCTGCCACTCAGGTCTCAAGGTCTTCTGGGTCTTGCCATAAAACCTATCTATGCTTGAAAGTTCATCTCCCTGTATTGAGCACAGTGGTCCACACTGAACTGCACCTGCTTTGTGTCTGCCACAGAGTCTTCACAGCCAGTGTATTGACATCCCCTATTGACATGGCTGCATGGGTTTTCTCTTATTCTTTCATTAGTCAGTTACTTCAGTGTAATTTTTATTTTAGTTAAAGCTTACTCTAGTGGTCCATGGGAATATAGTTTAGGAATCATTGACCTTGACTATTCATTCAATTAAAGACAGTTCATTGTGATTTTAGCATCCTTGCTTGGCACTGCCACAGCAGAAAAAGAGAATAGATGTGTCCTGTGAGGCAGTGTTGCTGCTAAGAGCATAAAATTCCTTCTGTTGTTCTTCTCAACTAGGAATATTCTTGGTCTATGTTTGCAGATGCTGATGTCAAAAACAAACAAAAACACTTGGAGTCATCCTTAAACCTCCTTTTCCCCAAATATTTAATCCATCCACAATCTGTTGGTCTTCTGCCAGAATGCACTTATATCAACCCTTATCTTCTCCTACATCACCACCTCCTGAACCTGAGTCACATCCTTCTGGTGTGTGTTTCATCAAAGCAGCCTCCTAAGAGATCTTCCGATCCTAACCTACAGCAATGACAATGATCCTGTTAAAGCATGAGTCAGATCATCCAGTCTCTGTGCAGAACCCTCCATCGGTGTCTCACCTCATGAAGAGTAGGGACCAGAGTCCTGATAATGCCCTCATGGCTCTGTGGACTTATTCAGCCCTAGCTCTCCCCCTGACCTTTTCTCTTCCTTTCCCTACCCATGCTACTTCAGTTTCTCAGGATCGAAAGTTTCCCCATAACTCAGTGAGCATTTCCTGTCTCAGAACCCATGCACTACTGTAATCCCTTCTGGGTGTGCTCCTGTTCAACTGTCCATATGTCTGGAATCTTCCTGTATGCCTCTATCCATCTATCCTTGCCAAAAGACCCTCCCTAGCCACTCATGTAAACACCACTATACCCATGTATTCCTTCCAAGGCCCTCTTTGCCCTCTTTCCTTGTTATTTCCCTCCACAGCAGGCATCTATCCCCATCACACGTCCACAGGTATTTCCTTTTATTGTGTGCTACTCCTAAAGGCACCAGGAAGAAAGTTCTTTGGACTGTTCGCTTTTAGCAGTGCTTCCCCTACATAGAAGAAGACCTGTACTTTTATAGTGCCTAGGACACAGTTGGATGAATGATGAATCCATGTTTCTGTGACCTAACAGTTAACACAGGTTGAGTATCCCATATTGAAAATGCTTGGGACCAAAAGTGTGATTTCAGACTGTTCAGATCTTCAATTTTACACAGATCTTGTTGGTTGAGTAGTACTCAAGAAGGTTTGGACTTCAAGGAATTTAGGCTGTCTGGTTGTTTTTTTGCCCAGCTAGTATTGTAAAAGTTGGAAGCCACTGAGTTCTAGTCACTTCAGAGCACATAGACAATAAAGAAGTTGCTACAAAATTGCTATCTACAGAAAACCATTTTGCCAACTTCTGTATATATTTCATAATCATTTTACATTTTTAGCACAGCATACAGTTATTTCATGCTACTTAATGACAGCCTGAAACCCTTTGGGGAGTGAATGAGTATCTAAGGCCTATATATCTTGTTTATTTGCTTGTAGATGGAGAGCATCCCAACTCATCAAGACCTTACCTGCTTCAGACCTTCCCCAAGTCAGAGCAAAGGTTGCAGCCATGGAAATGTTGAAAGGTCAAAGGGCAGACCTTGGGCTCCAGAGGGCCTGGGAAGGCAACTATCTTGCCTCAGTAAGTATAGGAGAACAGTGTGAATTCATGCAGCTCTGAAAAGCCTGTTTCCCTAAGAATTTACAGAAAAGAGGCTGGATGCTCGAGGCCTGGGCTCCAGCCCCAGCATTGTAAGACAAAAATCAATACCTTACAGAGAGATGTTTTTAAAAACTAAATAATTTCTCTGACTGGTGCTAAATTAGAAGATTTTGTTGCTTTTAAGTATACAATACCTGATGCATCGTCTCCTTAGAAGAGGGTTATATCCACATATATTAGCATAATCCATAACATGGCCCTTTACCACTTTAGCCTTCCCTTGAGTTATTCAGCAGCCACTTTTTTTTTTTTTTTTTAAAGACAGGGTTTCCTTACATAGCTCTTGCTGTCCTGTAGACTAGACTGGCCTCAGACTCATAGAGATCCACCTGCCTCTGCCTCCTGTGTGCTGGGATTAAAGTTATGTATTATACTACCCAGCTTCAGCAGACTTTTTTGTTTTGGGTTTTTTGTTTTGTTTTGTTTTGTTTTTTGAGACAGGGTTTCTCTGTATTGCTTTGGAACCTGTTCTGAAACTAGCTCTTTAGACCAGGCTGGCCTCCAACTCACAGAGATCCGCCTGCCTCTGCCTCTCGAGTGCTGGGATTAAAGGTGTGTGCCACCAACACGCGGCCAACAGCCATTTTTAATTACATCATTTACATTATTCCCAAAGGTCTATTTCATCTTCTCTTATTACCTAAAGTCTTTAATGGAACCTTTGATACGGTAACACCCTTTACTAATCTAACATCTGGGGGAGAAGATAAAAGGAATGCTGGGAAACCATATAGATATAGTTCTAACACAAAATACTGAACAGTTGCCTTGGCACCTACAGTCTAAGAATTCTCCTGTTGTTCTTCTGTTCTTTCAGAAGCCAGATACACCCCAGACCTCAGGCACTTTTGTGCCAGTTGCTAATGAACTGAAACGAAAGGACAAATATATGAATGTCCTCTTTTCCTGTCATGTCCGAAAGGTAAGATGCTTTTGAAACAGACTGTCTTGGAGGGAGAAGACTGAGAGGAAGCATACATGTGTGGGCTGCAGTGTAAAGTAGTAGTCCCATGCAGCTGGGTGCAGCACCAGTGAGCTTTGCCCATCTGTGCTAAGGATGTGTTGAAAAGGCTAACACGGTAATTTTTTTTTTTTTTTCATTTGATTTTTGAGACAAGGTCTTCCATAGCCAAGGGTGACCTCAGAATCACTATGTAGCTTGAATTCCTTCCTAACTGCTTTCAGATGTGTGCCACCATGCCAAGCTTGGTAGGCCTGTCTTTTTTCAAACAGGCTGTGTGCTTCTTGAGGTCGGGAATTTGAACTTTACTACATGTGTATCCTTCATAGCAACTACCAGTCTGCTGTTTATTGTTTACTACCTTTTACACAAGTGTCATTGCTACTTTAAAAACTGGATTTGGGGAGACTCAGAAAGGTACAGAAGGTAACCACTATAGGATGAGGAGGGACCACCACCCCCAAACAAGAGATCTAGTGCTGGTGCTCAATTGGATCACATGACGCCTGAACTCTCCAGCCAAGCTGGATCTCAGGAGAACCGGGTAGAGCACTGCCAGAGATCAGCAGCAGTGCAGGAGGTGATTAACCCATCAAAGGTTTCTAAGTGACCTAAAGCACTTGAGAAAAACTTCAAAAATGTTTATAGAAATATCCTGCATTCAAAGGTAAAAGTCAGAATGCCCAATATCCAGTCAACAAGCTTACAGACAAGACCTTGAATTCATAAATAAATGAAAACTCAGTCATCCAAAAAGACACAGACAAAATGACAAAATCATTGAGGCAATTATTAGCATTCTGTTTTATATATTCAAAAAGCTAGGGGAAAGATTGCACATGTTTAATAACTACCTTGAAGACTTTTAAATTACTTACAGTTGAACTAATAAACATGAAAAATCTGAAAGAAAATGCAGTCAATAGTATTAACATTAGAATAAACTTGAAGAAGAAAGATAGTGGATTTGGACTGAAATGGCTTAGCTGGGAAAGGTGTTTGCTGCACAATCCTGGTGTCTTGTGAGTTCAATCCCTGAAACTCAAGGAAAGGCGAAAGGAGATAAAGGACTCCACAAAGATGTCTTCCAACCTCCAACCATGTGCACCTTCAACACATGTACAAACACACACTAAACAACAACAAAACACAATCCAAATAAAGCTTTAAAAAAGATCAACAGCTATCTGATTTTATGTGGCACACATGTAAATAGCCTTGAAGACCTTAGGTGTTGTCTTTTAAAAGAGAGAGAGGGAGAATATAGAAAGAGAAGGGAGAAGGGGTCTGAAGTATTGAAGTAAGAGCAGTTAACCTAGAATTGAATACCCAGTAAATATATCTTTCAAGAACTACATGGCTTTATACCCAGCACTCAGGAGGCAAAAGCAGAGGGATTTCTGTGAGTTCCAGGCCAGCCTGGTCTTCAGAGCAAGTTCCAGGATATCCAGGGCTGTTACACAAAAAAACCCTGTGAAAAAAAAAAAAAAAAAAAAAAAAAAAAAACAATCAAACAAAAGAACTACAGTGACTTTTTCAGGCATGTCTGAAGGTGAGTACTATAGGAAGAGTTAGAAGACATCATTCAAGCAGGAAAGAGAAAAGGAAATATGTAAAGTTTTATGTTCTACACGGAGTAGTGTCTGTAGAGAATCAATCATTATAACTATTGTATAAATCTTAGCAAAATCAAAAATGTAAGAAACAAGTTGTTGCTAATGAGTCAAGGAAGAATACAAGGGACTGGCAAGATGGTTCAGTGGTTAAGAGCACTGTTGCTCTTCCAGAGGACCAGGGTTCATTCCCAGCATCCACATGGTGGCTCACAACTATCTGTAACTCCGGTTCCAGGGGAACCAGAGCTCTCTTCTGGCCTCCATGGGCACCAGATATACACTTGGTGCACATACATAACATGCAGGCAAAATACACATGTGCATAAAATGAATCTTAAGAAAGAAAGAAATTGAGAAACTAAGAGTGTAGGGCTTGGAGGTAGAGTGCTTGCCTAGCATGTATTTTAAAAATACAGAATTATGGGACAGAGAGCAAAGAATAAACAGGACAAATAAATAAGTTGAAAGATGATAAATTTAAACCTAACCCTATTGACCATCATATTAAATGTCAATGGTCTAACCACCACTGTTAAGAGGCAATGTTGTGCCCCCTTGCCCCATGGAAGCTTTCACCATCCTGGGAAGCTCTCCAAACCTCCAGGGTTCATGGAGGTTCCATTACGTAGGCAAAATTGTTTAAATCACTTTTGGTTGGTAATTAGTTTACCAACCCTAGCTGTAGCCTTTCTTCTTTCTCTCTCTGAAGGTCACTGGGGAGGAGAGCTACTGAATGGAAGTTCAGCCTTCTAATCATGCCTTGGCAACCAGCCTCCATGACTCCTATTACAAGGAGTTTGTGAACTCTATATTGGGAGCCAGGGACAAAAGTACAAGTTGAACATGACATTCAGAATGTATGAGATTTTGCAGTGTCATGGTCAGCGTTTGAACATTCTAAAGAAGAGTTCAAGTCCAAGTGGTACAAACAGCAGACTTAGAAAGTTATCATCAGCTGGTCTCTATTCTCCAGATTCTAGTTCTGAACTCTGAAATCAGGAACTCTGTTTCATTAACTATACCTAGGGCTAATGACACAAGAGAAGACTTGTTATCCAGATGTACATATTCACAGAAACAAGTTTCAGTCGTATTTCCTGTTTGTGAATGCAACGCAGGGATGTTCCTGTATACCCATACTCACATTTGTGATATCATGGTATCTGGCAATGAGAACAGTAGAAGAGAGTTGGGTGGTTCTGAGAATTTGGCCATCTGTAGAAAAGCCTGGTGTAATACCTCTCATTCCAGGGAGGACAGTTTCATGCCTGACGTTTCATCGTGAGCACTGATGAATAAAAACTGAAGAATTTTTATTGATGGTCCTGTATTTCTAAGTTCACTGTTCTTTATGCTTGTTCAAATAATGTCCTCTGTAGAATCTTTCAGTCCCAAAGGTACACCAAGGCACACTTGATACACTTCTAAAAAGCCTTCTCCTGATGCTTTGATTATTTTGAAGCAGCTGCTTTCCATTAATGGCAGTTATTAAAAGTGTTCTTTAAGGTGAGAGACCTACTGCAAATAGCTCCTCTCACCACTGTGCTTCCTCTGCTCTGACTCTGGAGCAGCTTTATCTCCGACCCCCTGTGGAAACAACTGAACCTATAAACAGCTGCCTTGAAGTGCTTAGGGAGAGCAGAAGGCTGGGGATTTTTTTCCTGGGGTGAGGATTTTAACTTTGGGTACAAGAAACAAGGTTGAAGTCTTACCTAATTCTGAGTCTGCAATCCAGCTTTCCTATTACTTTGAGAAAACAAATGTGAAATAAAAGTAGTGTTCCCATACTGTAATGGTGTTAAGCAGAAATCCACCTATGTATGTGGAATGTTTTCCTTTTTGCGTTGATAGAGCCAAATTAAGCAATCTACAGCTTTTTTTTTTTTTTTTTTTTTTTTTTTGCTGTTAGACATGATGTCTTTCACACTTACCTGATCTGTGTTTTAAAGTTGCTGAAACAAGGTAAATATTTGTTAGTCTCTGTAGAAACTGCTTTTTGTTCATATGAGAGAGTATTTCTGAACAGCATCAGTACAATTTCTGCTTTGAGGCTTTTTTTTCCTTGTTTTTAGATTAACTCATATATCATCAAAAGAACACATGGCCTTTTTGTCTCAACTCAAATGATCTTGTGAGATTGTATAACAGGATTTTAAAATTATATTCTTTTGTACCTCGTTTGTTTGTTTCTCCATACCATTCCATAAAAGATGAGGGGCATTATTTCTACATTTGATTCAGGTTCTATGCTAGATGTTCTCTGCTCTACATAGTACAAGTTTGATGAAAATGATAATGAATGTTCTCCAAACTGGCTTTCATAGAACCAGTGTTTGTTGAATATCAATAGGTATTTGTTTTACAGGGATTACATAGATTAAATGTACTATGGAAATGCTGGGTTAAATACTGCTTAAAAGCAAAATTCTTAGAACCTTTGATAGCTTTCTAGACTTTGGATATCATAGTGGGAGCTGTAGTTTGCAGTACTTATCCAGCCAGACCAACCATGGAATCCTTTCTTTCACAAAGTTCTACATAAAGCCAGTTCTATGCAGAACATCTAAATGGATCTCCATACTCAGTGCTTCAGATTTCTGGAAAGTGCAGTTGTCTGTCCTGGCAAAAACAGATGTTATGCAAAGTTATCCTCCAAGAACACAAACTATACGCTTATCACATAGATTCTATTTTAGTCATAGGCACAACTTGATGTCATGTTGAAGACTAAAAAAAAAATATGCTTTTATTATAGAATAAATGTTTAGAGAATTGACTGATCACTAAAACCAAGGCAAAGGGGATAAGGTAAATTTCCACGTCCAGTTTGAATTTTAGTTTGCTACATTCTATGCATAGTGCACTGTCCTGCCATGCCTGTCTGAATGCAGCTATCTGAATATTCTACCAAAGCATGTTTTCAGATTAATCTCTCATTCCTTTATCTTGGAAATAAGAATGGAGGTGGTGTGCAAAGAGTATAGAAGATATATATCTTCTATATATATAGAAGTCAGCCTACTTCTGCCTCCCAAGTGCTGGGATTAAAGGCATATGCCATCACCACCTGGCTGAAGATGTGTATATTAATGACATGGTATATTACAGTATGCCTTCTGTCAGGATAGAGGCTTCTTGTGCTCATTTTGTTTTGTCTCCTTGCCTTTCTCAATCAGTGAGAAGCTAGACATTGTAGAGGCTCAGAAAAATGTTGGGGCCAGAGAGAGAGCTCAGAGGTTAAGAGCACATACTGATCTTGCAAAGGATCCAGGCTCAGTTCCTAATATTCATATCATTCATCTTATGAGTACCTTACAAGTACCTGTAACTCCAGTTCCACAGGATCAACACCCACTGGCCTTCAAGGGCACCTCCATCCACATGGTGCACATAAACTCACATAGGCACATATACATACATTAAAATAAATATATGAATAAATAAACCTGTTCTTAAATGTTAATCCAGGCCTTGATTAAAATATCTGAAATCGCTTAACAAATAACTAGCCACAAATTGTACAATGTACCTTAGTTAATTTTATCTCATAGGAGAAAAAAGTATCTGTAAATTAGGGCAAACTCTGACCCTCTGTCTGGTAAAGTAGTGCTCTGCAGAAACACAAATATATTTTTTTCATACTGTCATTTTTGTTTTCTTCATATTTTTATTTTCATTTATTGCTTATTGCTCTCATCCCCAAATACTAATCCCAGCTTCTTATGATAGCCCAGGGCCTCAGGCATAAATGGTATTGATTGGATTATCTGATACTTAGTTAAATTAGATCTTTATTTGTTCTAAATACAAGACCCTTATCAGACAGGTGATTCACTGAACGTTTTCTCTCTGTCTGTGGGTAGTTCTATTTACTTCCTTGATAGGGTCTAGAGTTCTTATTTCTAGTCCCCAAATTCTACATTTGCTGTGTTTTCCCTTTTAAGCTATAAAAAAAAAAAATGTATTTCCAAACTCTACACATCTGGAAACTGATATCCCTTGAAATCATAGAGTGCCATCCATGGTGACCTTCTGCTGAGATTTCATCTCCATGGTCAGCCACCTCTGAACCTAGGTATTTCCAAACATAACTTGGATCCCTTTCTTATGAGATACTATGGCTTATTGGTTTGTTTTCTTACAGGTTAATCGATTTAGTAAGGTAGAAGACCGAGCAATTTTTGTCACGGACCGTCACCTGTATAAAATGGACCCCACTAAGCAGTACAAAGTGATGAAGACTATCCCTCTGTACAATGTAAGTGTGCGTCAAATATAAGACCCCTGTTTCATAAACAGAGACTTATGGGCTAAACCTGTAACCTCTGTGGCTTTGGGGACCCTGTGTCTTCCTGGAATTTTATACCAATTGTGTTGTACCAAAGCACAGTTTTCTAAAAGAGGATTCAAAGTTTCTGATAAAGTAGCTAAAATATTTTTTAAAGCTAAGAGCAGTGGTTCTGTGCCAGGTGTGGTGGTACACACCTTTAATCCCAGAACTTTGGAGGCAGAGGTAGATCTCTGTGAGTTTGAGGCCAGCCTGGTCTACAAAGTGAGTTCCAGGACAGCCTTGTCTTTAAAAACCAAAAGCCATACACAGACACACACAGACACACACACACACACACACATACACAAAGAGCAGTTTTTTGGATTCAGAGTTTCTGATAGAGTAAAAAATAAAAACAATGGCTCTGTGTGACATCTCTTCCTACTGTAACATACTGTTTAAATGTGCTTGTACATTTTCTTATTTACTTTTGTAAATTGTTTGTGTCTGTGTGGGTACACATGTAGGCAAGGGTACATGTGGAGGTCAGGTGTTGTTTCTCAGGAGCTATCCTTGGTTTTGGAAAGAAGGTCTTGTAGGGAGTATGGTTTTTCTGCCTGCCGCCTGGTCTTGTCCCGCCACCGCGCCAGCCCCAAATAACACACACAGACTCTGTATTTGATATTATACTGTTGGCCAGTTACTACTTTCTTATCGGCTAGCTCTGTCTTAAGTATTAACCCATTTGTGTTAATCTATGTATTTCCACGTGGTATTCTTACCCGGAGCCGGCTGCCGCGTACTGCTCTCTCCAGACTCTCCATCCTGACTCCTCCTTCCTCCTTCCTATTTCCTCCTTGTCTCCTAGTCCCTCCTATCTTCCTTTCCTATTGGCCAACAGTGCTTTATTCATTAAACCAGTATGAGAAACATATATACATAATGGCATCTCCCATCAAGGTCTCACTGACCTAGAGCGTACCAAGTAGGCTAGGCTGGCTGGCCAATGAGCCCCTACTGATCTTCCTGTCTCTACTTCCCCAGTGCTGGGATTATAAGCATACACTACTGTGCCCAGCTTCTTTATATGGGTTCTGGAGCTTGAACTCAGGACTGTATTCTTGTACTTACTAAGCTATTTCCCAGTTCTACTTTTATAAATTTTTTAATGGACAGAGAATTAAGTAGAAAACAGTAGGATATTACTTTGTGGAAACATTACAACTTTTACTTATTTTTTTCAGTGTGTGTCTGTGCTTGTGTGTGTGTGTTATACATATGTGTGTGCATGTGTAAATCTAAGGTTCCACTTTATTCATTATTTGATTGAGAGAAGAGTCTCTCAATCAAACCCACAGCTCACTGATATAGCTAATTTTGCTGTGAGGATCCCATCTCTGCCTTCAGAGCCTCGATTACTAGTGGGCCACCATGCCCACTGGACATTTGCATGGGTTTCTACAGATTCAAACTTCAGTGTTCACTCTTATACAATAAGCCATCGCCCTTACTACTACTATTTATATATTAGATTTATGTAGCTCCTAATATATTTTACCAATTTATTTTACAGCATTAATGTTGTAGTTGTATGATCTCTGATCTAAGTCCACTCTGAGGTTCACTATTTTACCTAGACTTTCAAATCTATAATCATGTTGATCTGAAACTTCTGAAACATGAAATTTGTTGGGTATCTTTCTGAGTCTCAAAGTGAAATTTCATTTGTTGTTGTTGTTGTTGTTGTTGTCATTTTTGAGAGAGGGTCTTGCTGGTCTCAAACTCATAAGGTGATGTAATCTTCCAGAGTAGCCAGGACTATAAGTGCACTACCACATCTGGCTCAGGTATGTTTTGTTTTCCTGTTTAACAATTTAAGTTCTGTTCTGATTCTTTAGAAAGCTTCTACTAGACTACTGGGTCTTTTCATCTGTAGGGCTATTTTTCTGTCTGCTAGTTCTTAAATAGGGAGTCTGTGTCACATGGTGCTAGGGTCTGTGAGAAGTATTACTTACAGATTATTTTAAATCCCTCTGGTCCCTGGAAAAAGAAATAGGAAGCATATTGTTTTATGGCTTTATTTTGTGACTTCTGAGGTCCTGTGGTAGTAAGGGACAAAAGAGACCAAGTATTCCTGGCTGTGCTGAATAGCTCCTGCATTAATGGAGAGCCCGTATCGCTGGGGTTGGGATTTGACTCGCTGTGGTGCCCTTCCATTTCACCCCCACCCTACCACATACATACACCTCATTTCTTTTCAACAGAAAGGCCAATGGATTGAAGCTAAGAAAAGACTTTAGATGGTATATAACCTTCTTAACCAAGACCTGCAATCGTATATATCAGCCACAATTTAAGCCTAACAGCCTGCAGGCTTAGAGTAGGAGGGAGAGGAGGATAGATGGGGGAGAAAATTATACTTTGTCAAAGTCTAAGGAGGTATGAAGCCAAACAAAAATAAATCATTGTGGTCTGGAATTTATTTCTTTGTTATTTCTCTTAAGGGGAACCCATAAAGGTCATGATACTTTTTTTTTTTTTTTTTTTTTTTTTTTTTAGTTAAACAACTCTTTAAACTGAAGTGTATTCCTTTTTGATTTTTGAGTTTTTTATTTATGTGTGTATCTTTGTGTGAATGTGTGTATATGTATACCTGCTGTCCAAAGGGAGTTGGAGAGTTCATAGTGGTTGTGTGTCACCTGATGTGGGTACTCAGAACTGAACTCAGATCTTCAAGAGCAGTGTGGGCTCTTAACCACTCAACCATCTGTCTAACCCCCATCTTCATCTTTGCATTGACTATAAATAATAATTGTAAAACCATGTACATATATATAGTCATTTTCCTATAAGCATTGTCAGTGGCATTAACAGTGTGATATCATAGAGACTGTTGACATCTAACTACTCTAGAAAGGTAGACATCTGAGGGATGGATCCCCAGTGTTGCAGATGTTCTCAGTCACATCCATATCTCTTTGTATCCCATGCCATTTTCATACACACCATCCTAATTTCCAGCAGCCATCATCATCTTCCTCAAGACCTTGCTCCCTCACATACATTGGAAATGGAGTGAGGGAGCACAGGGGTGTCATACCCCAGATCCATTTCTCATTACTGAGATCATTTCCCAGAGCTTCCCCACAGGGCAAGCTGCAGTTGTTCACAGGAGCAGCTGCCTCTTCTCCCCACCAGGGCCCTCTTCCTTGCCATTGTGTGTGGCCTCCCAGATCAACCTCGCTTACTCATCATCCTTTGCTTTGCATCTGCTTCTGGGAGAAACTAACTTCATAACAATGGAATGGCTACCTCCTCCAAAGAGGCAAGCTGGGTACAAAGGGGGACATCCAAATATAGCATCAAGTTTTGTTTTGTTTTAATCTTGAAGTAAATATAGCAAAATATTAAGCCTGAGTATTTTATTATCTTAGGTTGTTCACATTCTAGCTCTCTTAGCTGGGAATCTTTAACTGCTTCAGTTGTAAAGTATTTTGAAATTCATTTGGGACTATAGATGTTCATATTTAAGAATGGGTTGAGCCCTCACCATTTTCATCTCTCTAGTTGTACCCTCTCTAGAGTGTCATATGTCAGCACCATATAGTATGTAGACTTTTCAGATTGGCTTCTTTCACTTGGCAATAAGTATCTTCCTGTGGCCTGGTGACTCCTATTTTTTAAATATTGTCTTAGGGTTTTCTGTTGCTGTGAAGTGACACCATGACCACAACAACTCTTATACAGGAAACATTTAATTGAGGGGCAGCTTGTCTAGTTTCAGGAGTTCAGTCCTCTATCATCATGATGGGGAACATGGCAGCACGCAGGCAGACATAGTGCCGGAGCTGAAAGTACTACATCTTGTAGGCAACAGGAAGTCAACTGACAGTGACACTAGGTGATACCCTGAGTATGGGAACCCTCAAAGCCTGCTCCCACAGTGACACACTTCTTCCAACAAGTCATACCCACTCCAACAAAGTCATGCCTCCTAATAGTGCCACTCCTTCTGGGGGACATTTTCTTTCAAACTACCCCAAATATATTCTATTACTTAGAGATACCACAATGTGTTTATTCACTCACTATTGGAGGACACTTTGATTGCTTTTGGTTTGGGACAGCCATGAATAACTCTACTATAAATATTTACATGCAAGTTTCTTGTGTGAACATGAGCTCTTTGAACAGTTGAACAAAAATACCTAGGAGTGCTCTTACTCAGACACAGATAAGACTCAGCTTATCTTTGTAAAAACTGCCAGCTTTCTTCTAACATGGCTGTACCACTTTATATTCTAAGCAGAATGAGGGTGCCTATTTCATCCATTTGTTTGTATTTCACCTATTCTAATATGTGTATAGCTACATAATATATTTTATTACCCTAAAATATATAACTCAATATTCACTAAGTGTCTATCTTTAGCCACAAGAACCACCTCCAGACTCTGTTGGTTTGTTATATTCAGGTAGTAAAGACTGGTTTGGTTTGGTTTTTTATAAACCTAAGCAAATTATGTAAAGATACATTTGGTGCCTTTCTCCCCTCTGACTAGCAAGCACTGTACAACTATTTGTCATTTAACAATGGTTCTGGTCAGTCATGCCAGGAAACATAAAAATAGGACATCATCGCAGATCCTTGAGAATATTTTCAGCAAACACTGTCCTCACAAATGACATTGTCCCATAATAGTAAAAGTGATCTGTGAGAGAAACATTCAAGTTACAGGTGACTGCTTTAGTAGCTAAGTGGTTTTCTATGTACAAACACTGCAGGCATGGGTTAGGGTTTCAGCCAGCTGCAATCTGTGCTGCTATCAAGTCAGTGTTTTCCCTCAGTCGCTTTCTGTACCACATTTGTGTATTGTGTTTTCAAATTGAATAATTAGTTCCAGTGTATTGGTCAAAAAGAAAATGTTCAAATTTTTACAAGGGACAGTACAGTCAGGATTTGAGTATTTTGTGAATCTGAGAGGTTT